ACACATACTCAACATTTAATAATTAGAAAATACACCATAATTTTTCATTAGTTTCAAAATTGTGTGCATGTCTGTACATAATTTATTTGCTCAAGATTATAAACTTTTATAAAAGTCCCGCATTAAAAGAAAGGTTCTCATCTCTTTTTGACATTTTTAGTAATTCTTTTATTCTGGCTTAGACAATTATCTGCTTGGACAGATATTAGCATTTTGCCCCAATTATTATTTTAGGACTATTCATTCCATTTCTCCAAAACTAGATCCTTAGTCAGCTCCAGGTGCCATATACTCTTTGTGGCATTTTTATAATAAAAATAGAAAAATAAGAGTAAGACACAGATAGTTTATTTTCCACCTGGTGTGCTCACTGGTAGATGGTGGTTTCTAGGGAAGCAGTTGTGTTACCAGCTCAGCCCCTATAAGGACATCTGTCATAGCAACACTCTGGGATTTTCTCAGAAAAGTGAATGTGTATACAAGACTTGAGGTGAAGAACAAGGTATGATTGTTTCCATTCAGCTCATTATGAGCATGAGTCCAATTCAAAATAGTCCACCTATCTCATAAACTACCCAGTACACACAGGAACCTCCACCCTTGGCAAGACACTGGGTGGATTTGTGTCTTAAATGACCAGGTATAATGTGGTGCACAGGTGACTGTCACATAGGTTTACATAGTACAAACCACACCATGCTCAGCATTGCCCTGAGATACAACTCTTTTTTTTCATTCTTTATTGTGATAAAATAAACATAACATTTACCATATTAATAATTTTTAACTGCACAGTATAGTAGTATTAAGTACATTCAATTGTTGTACAACCATCATCACCATCCATCTCCATAAATCTTTTCATCTTGCAAAACTGAAACTCTGCACCCATTAAACAATAACTGCCCATTTTCTCCTCCTCCCAGTCCCTGGCAACCACCATTCTACTTTCTTCAGGATACAGACTTTTAAAACACAAAATGCAAAATTCTTTCTCATGCACTCAACCCCGGCTCTGGGGTCACAAGTGTTCCTAATGAAAAAGTTATTCTCTGCTCTCCAAGATGAACCCCAGCCCATTACCTCCTGCTTTCTTCATCTTTGCAAAGGTCATCACCCTCATCTCTGGATCCCCTTTGGTCACATCAGACCATTTGGGCAAAAAAGAAGAGTTAGTTTAAATGTAAAGACCTAGAAGGTATCTCACACTCAGCCATCCTTTGACATCATTTCTGGTTCTTCTCATTCCAGGAAGTGCTCCAGCGAATTACATGTCTCCTGCTGACTTAGAAATCGACTTAAAACTCCATGAGGAAGGATGAGCTGTAAGTAACTGCTTTCTCCAGCTAGGTAATTTCTGACCTTGTTCTACAATTCAGTCCTTCACCCCTTATTTCTTGAGCTACCACATTGTGCTTGACCCAAAAGACCTCCTGTTAACTACGAACCCTACCATCAGGGATTTCCAGCCATAGCTGATTGAGAAAATCAGCAACTGGTCTCCCCAAAAACGCAACCACAAAACAGGACAAATTTGACCCAAACAGCCGTTTTAGTACTCTGAGAATAGATCAAAGGCACATGAAAATCTGAAGAGCATCTATGTTTGAAAAATAGCTGAACTTCAGGTAAGAACAATGGGAGTCTGTGGCATTCTGGCCTGGGGTTGGTCTCATGCCCCACACCCACCTCCAGTCCCAGCTTGATCAACAAAGATGTTTTGGCAGGGAAGGGCAGGCCATGAGTAACAACAGTACTTCAGTCACAGTCCAAGGGGCTTATTCAATTTGGAGCACCTATACCTACGGGGAGAAATGAATAGCACCAGAGATGATAATTATATGGGCTAATATATAAGATTATGAGGGCCCTGGCCGGGCAGCTCAGTTGGTTAGAGTGTCATTTGGATATGCCAAAGTTGCAGGTTTGATTCCCAGTCAGGGCACACTCAAGAATCAACCAATAAATGTGTAAATAAGTGGAATAACAAATAGATGTTTTTCTCTCTCTCCCTTCCTCTATCTCTAAAATCAATAAATACAAACATTTTTATAAAGACTATGGTTATCTTTTTCTCATTTCTTACCTTCTTTAAAAGACATATGACTGTATAAACAGATAATTATACCATTATCTTGTTGAGTTTATAGCATATATAGATGTAATATAAATGGTAATAACAGCACTAAGAATGGGGAAGGAAATAGAGGTATATTGAAATGTTTTTATATTTTTCTAAAGTTAAATTAGTATTAAATCCCATCTCCATAGTGAAGAATAATAACAGTTTATGTGTACTGAGTGTTTACCTTGTTCCAGTGGGTACATGTTACCTTACTTAATGAGCCCCCCCATCAGTTTACCTCCTGTAACCCATGCAGTAATTATTATCCAGGCCACACATTCTGTATTTCATCACAATTTAGGCTCTTGCTTTGTTACTACGTGCATCACTCTTTTTGCTCCAGTGAAATAAAAATTCGTAATGCTCCCCCACAGCACACAGAAAGTGCTCAAGGTACACTGAGTCACTAAAGGTGGCCCCCCAGGGTATAACCTTAACATAATAAGAATGTTGATAAGCTGTCTTTAATGCTGCCCCACAGCACACAGAAAGTGCTCAAGGTATACTGAGTCACTAAAGGTGGCCCCCCAGGGTTATAACCTTAACATAATAAGAATGTTGATAAGCTGTCTTTATTATAAACTTTGAACACAAAATCTAATCCAATTGCAAATGGGCAAACACCATTCTACCTGTAAAAATCTCAGAAATGGTTAAGACCAGCTTGTTTGAGCTCTGAAGTTGGAGATAGTTCAACCTCATTTTCCAGATGAATTTGCTAAAATCTTAACTTTCTAGAAGAGATTGTCCAGTCTGCTAAAAGCTTTCAAAACCAAATTATTTCACATTGAGAAGCTATAAGAAAGGTTCCCAGCATTAAGTGTTGACTATTGGTTTTGAAGTATCTGCTTTGGAGGCTTTTTAAAAAGTTTAACTGAGAGAGAGAGAAAGAGAGAGAGAGAGAAACATCATTGTTCCACTTATTTATGCATTCATTGGTTGCTTCTTCTATGTATTCTGACAGAAGATGAAAGCCACAACCTTGGCATATCAGGACAACGCTCTAACTAACTGAGCTATCTGGCCAGGGATGCAGGGTTTTGAAATCTCAAGCTGAAGAGCCCTCCAGTGTTAATGGTTTCAGGAGTCCCTTTGCCTACCTCTAGCCAGTGATTTGGGGAATGTGGAATCTATCCTGATAGAGATGTCAGGGAAGAAGATCCTTCCAAACTCTTCTAGATGCTTCTGCAGTCTGGAAATTCTGTTCCATTTCTCACCTTAGGTTGTTACACATCTCACCTTAGGTTTCAGCTGCAACAGACTCCTTTATGTTTTAGGCTCACATCAAAAGCAGCATCCCTGGAGTCCAAGGAGTCCTACCTTCCTGGTCTGCTCACCACCACCCCTCCCCCCAGGTGTGGCCCTCCCCAAGGCTGGCAGTAATCATGGAGTCCACAAGGTCCCTTGTTTCTAGCACCCTTAGCACTCTGCCCCTGAAAGCCATGAAAGTCATTCCAAACTCTTCTCAGGCTCTGAGTACACCCATAGTGATTTTCTTCTTGGGATCCACCCTGGAGCAGATGTGTGCAGTCAGGAAAATGTCACCCAACCTGTCTCTCACCCAGAAGGTCAGCTAGAGGCACTGTCTTACAGGGTGTCCTCCTGGGTGTTGTTGCTCCAAGAGTCTCCCCTTACTAGAAAGGGTGTCTTCTCTTCAATTCCACAGACCCAACTGTTCATTGCAGGGGAATCTGGGCAATGCTGTACTTTACCAAGGACTCTGTTTTTTAGCTTCTTCAGTGGCTAGGGATGTAATTAAATGCCATCGTTCTAATGACACACATTTTCCATTCCAGCTGCTTGAAGTTCCTTCTCTGCTAATGGTTTAGCAATTATCTCTTTGGCTACCACCTACCACCCCAGGAATGGCCTGCCAGAGTGACCTATACTCCTGACATTTTATAGTCCCTGTAAATTAGGAAGAATTACAATCTTGAGTAATGTCATGATGTACTTATTTGTTCATGGGAGTGGAACGTGGCTATCTTTTTTCATTTTAAATTAGGACTAATGGGAACAAGCACCATCAAGGTGGTCATAATTTACCAAAATGCCGGCTTTTTAAAATTCTTAAATGTATAACATTCCAGAATGTAGACAGAGTAAGAGGAGAACCTCACATTTATATAAGGGCTCAAATTTAGATACTGACATTATCTCCAAGTGCGACTGTAGAGACCGAAAGCATGTGTTAGATCATTTATCAAGGGTAAATTAACATTTAAAATATGTCAGAATGCAATCCTGCTTTTGGTATTGCTTTATTTACTTTTTCAGTTAATATATCAGGAAAACCACCCCTCAAAAAAAAAAAAATTGTCCGAACCAATCCCAGCCTCTCTTGTGTGTATGTGTGGTGTGTGTTGTGTGTGTTGGGGGTAGGGGGGTGGAGGTGGGGTTGAGAATGGGAGTGAAAGGGTGACTTTGAGCGCCGGGTTTAGGCAGCAGAAATTTCCAGGCCAGCTCCCAAGGTCTTGGAGATTTGGGCTCAGCATTCCCACGAAGACTCGCGGGTTCCGAGCGGGTGGAGGGATCAGAGAACTGCCCGATTGAAACAAGTACCGCGCCAACCGCAGCCACCTGGACGAGAGCGTGGGGCGGTGCCGCCGCGGGGCACA